TTTTCGGCCCAGGAAAAAAAACAACAAATTTTTAGAATAGATAGTAGCAGTTGGGAAGGGTTATTTAAATTAGAAAATAGAGCATGTACAAACTGTCTCGTGATTTTAATTCACAAGAAAATAGCATAATATTCTGCAATGTTAAAATATCTGCATGTAATGGTGATGAAATGAAAAAAAATGCGGTACGATAAGTTGTACTCGATATTTGGGTCTTAATTTGAGGATTAAATTCATTGGTGAACTCCAAAAAGATAATATTGAAAGTTAATTTAATAAATGCACAGAACCCAGAAGAATTCCTTCAGGCTTTTTAACAGTTTTTAGACTGCTTGAAAATACAGGAATTTAAAGACCTTATTATTACTGATATGCCTAGTAAGTGGTATTAAAACAACAAGAATCAATACAAACCTGAGCTGCCCCCCTTGATTGCTGTTATTGACACTTTTTCATTAACATCTTCTGGTAAAGTTTTAACACTGTTGCTTTTTTACTTCAATCAAGCTCATTTGTTTTGAATATGGTTTATTCTGACAAAGATTCATTTATTTCTTGTATTTGTTAACATATATATATATTAAATATATAAATTAATATGTGAAAACGTACAACGTTTGTTGACTTTTCCACAAATTCATCACGATTGGTTTTCAGTAGATAAAATTGTAATAAGGATTTCCTTTAAGTCTTTAATTGGCATTAATTGAGGCTGATAAGGTAGATTTTGGATGTCTTTATATATGTTGAAGGATAAATTGTAAAACACAGAGTGTGTAGATTATTTAGCATTTTCTTACTTTACAGTCTTTACACTGACGCTTTTATTGTGTTGTAAACAATAAACACAAGATTTTATTGTCATATCTACATTTTTCTGTACCTATCCAAAATTAGAAAGACTTTGAATTCTCATTTTGTGCAGTTTTATAAATACCTACGTCAAAGCTGAATATTACGTAACATCCTTAGCTTTTTGACACGAAGGAACAGCTAAAATGTTCAACTTGGTCTGAGGATGTTACTGTTTTTATAAATATTAAGTAAGAAGTAGAAATATGTACTTCAAAAGTACAGTGGAATCTTGATTTGCTTTATTAAAAAAAAGTTGGAGATTTCAATTCGATGAAAACTGGAACCCAAACATAAAAAACAAGAAACACAGTGTTAATGACAGTCGTGACCCATCTTTTAACGTTTTATGTTTGTTCGGTACGGCCTTTATTAGTATCACGGTAGGACGAGTCCGTACCCAGCTCAAGTAAAGTCCCTAGGGACTTTAGGATCAAGGTACTCACCCCACCCAGCCACCTACTGGATGGAGGGCGCTATCTCCTGTATACAGGACAGGCATGATTGGAAAGGGTACCGTACGCGACAGCGATATGGGCGCGATGATTCAAATATATATTTGTGACTTGTGTTTACATACTTATTATTAATGTAGTGATTATGATAAGAACATCCACTCTTTTATTTACGATTACGATGGCGTGAAGCTACATTTGGTCCTACGAGTCGAATCACGGCGCAACATTTTGTTCTACTGAGTCGCATCACGGCGCGATGCAACATTTTGGTCCTTCAACCCCGATCATGCAACGCCACAATCTTGAAATATATTTTTTACTCCGGTATTAAAACCTACAGTCAGTAGCAAAACTCCAGTATTTTATACTCACCATATGACATTTTTATTTGTAAGAATTTACTTTATCGTGGTACTGATTAACTAAGACTTTAAAATACCAAGAGAGCAATAAAACAATCAAAGATAGCCAGGATTTTTGAAGATTTGTTTTTAGTAGAATATTCAACACATTACCATCAATTTAAATGCTTGAATTGAAAATGCAAGGATTACAGACAAACAGTCAAAAATCCATGCCTGTTTTTGATCGTGTTTTATTTATGGTACCTACATAATAAAATACATACATACATGTATATTTGCCATCTTCGACACAATCTTTCCATACAAAAAACCAGTGTTTGTGTTTCATTATAAATAATGAAATGACATAATAATTATGCTTTTTTTTACAAAACATATTTCATTCCTTTTCTGTGATGTAAAAATTTTGCATTCATTTACACATTTAAATAGTTCAAATCTACACTCCCTAAAACAAGAATTAAGCTTAAGAACGTTTTTTTCTGTAGCAAACGTTAAATAGTGCTTTATCATGGGCGCCCATAGAAACCTTTCTCAGGGGGGGCCACCCTGAAATTTTTGTAATATACTCTGTTCTTGTATATATAAATAATAATATGATAGAAATCTTTACTATTATAAATATATATTTTAATCATCAACTACGTTAATCAAATCTACTCGCAAATAACCCTACAACATCATTATTCTTATTATTAACAAAAATATAAAATTAATCAAAAACAAATTGCTAATTTCTTTTTTCTTGGCCAAAATCGTCAATTACTGTACCAACAGATGTTTCTTCGGCATTAACTCTCTCTGTCTCACAAATACCACTGTCTAGTTTTTTTATTTTTACAAAATCCTGCCAATTTTGGATTTCGTCTGATAAATTGTCAGTGGAGTAAAATTCGTCCAACCCTTTAAAGCAACTTGGTTTTAAGTTATGTACATTCTTTGGATGTAATTAAAATAATGAGTATGATGACACTTTTGTTTCGGAAAATCATGTTGTTAAGGAAAGAATGAAATGATCCAGGTATGGAATAAAAGTGCCGAAATAATTTTCTATGCTATCTGTGTTGTAGTTCGCACGCCCACAGGTGAAACAGTTCTGGAGCAACCGAAATTTCCACTCGAAGTCGATGGCTACTCTGATAAACCGCCATCAGTAGTAATAAATAACATCACTTATTTTATACTTCTTATTAGCTGAAGTATCATCATCAGGATTTGTAATTTTTCTCTTGAAGAAATTTCAAATATCCATATTTCTCTGTTTTTAAATAAAATATTAAATTTAAAACTTAAACAGACATTTAATCAACAGTCCTTACGCTTGTATTTTGAAATAAATAAATAATAAAAAGTATAGTCAACAAAACGCCGGTTTAACAACTGTTCGTCTTTACACGTCACTTCACCACAGATAAAAAGTGAAAACGGATTGAATTTTTGGACGTAAGCAATAAAATGTTTGCTCTTGTATTGTAATAACTGTAAAAAGCAAATAACGAAACAACCCATAATTCAGTACCGGTTAAAAAGGATAGATTTATGATGTTTCCAGGCAAATCTGGGCCGAACAGAGGGTTTCAAAACCAGATGGTCTAAGTTAGTCACATTTCTGTGTTTATGTGGCAATAAAACTGAAAGTGTAGGGTATGTACCTACTCTTACAAATGTGCTGAAGTTTAATTTTGACAAATAAAAAGGAAATCGAAGCAGAATCTCAGGGGGGGCCATCGCCCCCCCTGGCCCCCCCCCCTATGGGCGCCCATGGCTTTATTCTATTCAAAACTGCAAGGGTAAATAAAATAACACTTTAGCAACGGTAGATAAAATACTTCAATTTTTCTTTACGTCAAATACATAACTATTTTCTATTAATAGTTAGTTTTACAATTAATGTTTCCAGAAACATAGTTATATTTTTGAAATAGATGTGTTTCCGTATTGCCATAATCTCACAGATGTATTCCTACCGTGTTTTTCTCCCCTATTAAAGATTTACCTGAGAAAAACGACTATTCTCATAGTTCAGTGTCGTTAAAGTAGGTAATTCCGAGTTAATTAAATACAATAATAAAAAATGAGTTTGATTTCAATGTACTTATTTAATAATGCAAAATAACACAACACAAATTAAACACACACAGAAAAAGTACAATTAAAAATCTTCTTTAAAAATGGTGGTATATACAGTAACGTTAAATGTGCTAGCGTACACCCTCATTTCATTTGTGGCTGCAGTTCTACTTTGCTCCCGATCTAAGTATTCTCTCCTGTCTCAGTTTCCTCCCCTGCTCTTGTAACCTTATCTATTCCTGGATATATCCCTCGTTGCACCCCTGCCATTTCCTCACCCCTTCCAGCTTCCTTGTTTCTGTTTCCTCTCCGTCGATAGTACCCCCTACCTCTGTAACCTTCCACGCTTCCTTCACTAACCTCTTGCCTCTTTCTCTGACTGCCGTCCTTGTTGGGTATAGGTACTATCCTTTTTTATTATTTGGCAATTTTTCTGCCCAATAAGTAGTAATGGCTGGTTATTCGAAAACATGTATTTATTTATTAGTAAAACATATTGTTTTTTTCGCATCCATTTTCAATAGTAAGTACTAATATAAATAATTGACACATATTTTATTGTTACGAAAATGCGTCATAGCAAAGTAAAGTTTTACCTGGTTGTTTTACCTATTGGCTTTGTTGCTTAGTTTATCCTTTTTATCAACTTCAATACCGTGTATTCCTGGAATAATAATTAATTTGTTGGGTCAGTATTTAAATAGATGTGGTTTTTGATTATTATTTAGGTATCGTATCCGCGAGTGCCAATCGTCGTTGCTGAACGCATGGTTGGAATGGCTACAAGAGTTGAGTTCAGCTTGTTCAAGAGTGACTCATCTCTAACAGCCGTTAGACACGGGACTAATTTTCGTAGTAAATTGCTTGTATACAAGAATTTAGAACTGGTTCTAATTTCTCGCATACAATTTAGTACTAAAATTAGTCCCAGCTCTAACACAGTTTAAAGTATAAATTGTACAGTGTTGATAAAAAATCTTTGAAAATACTTACCAGTTATTTTTCTTTTTTTAATAATCGTTGTTTGGTTATGAACATTGTCACGGCAACGTAACATAAACACTTAATCTTTCTCACAAAAATGACTGTCGCGATATTCTTCGCGATAATCATAAATGTAGTAGACTGTAGTGTACCGGTTCAAATTAAATTTAAGCGCCAGAAAGAGTGACATTTTTAATTGTAATGTAGATTTGCGTTTTTCTTGAAGAGAGGTGGGGAAGCTTTGGCGCGTCTGGAGGAGCAGATATGGAGCAGATTGTTTCAAGTAGTCGTTGCGTGCGGATGCAAATCCCCAATGTTAAAGTCACATGTGTTTGAGATTTGTACGTTTCATTTATTTGTAAAATATGACCGAAGGGCCAATTGTCAATAGATTAGAGGGACACCATTGTTACTCCTAGGTGTAAGTATAGTTTAATGTAATTTTTAATTGATAATGCGCCGATCTCACTTGTCGCGACGACGGCCGGCGTCGGGCAAGTCTGCAATTTTGGCAGATTTCGTCATCATGGATTGCGTCATTGTTGTTTAAACTGGCGTTGGCTGTGCAGCTGGCTGGTTTTCCCTGATCGCGCTCGGACTTGTTAAAAGCGATAAAATTGTTATTAAATTTCACGGAGTCGCTGGGAATTATACATTTTATTTTCTTGCATGGCGATAAAAAAAAAACAATAATATGTCAGGAATGTTTAAATGCAACATTTTATAATATTTTAAATTGTGAAATATCTCAGGGGATGGATGGTTTTTCTTAAATTATTATTTCAATTTAAATAGATTCCCGTCTGGAATTCTAACATAGTTTTTGGCAGTATTCAAGATGTAAAATTTTAAAGATTGAGTCGCTTTGGAAATAATCAGCGAAATAAATGTCGTCGTGGATTCGAAAGGGCAAATGGGATTTTATGCTGATTTTGTGTGATGTTTTATGTGTTTTATGATTCCAAAATTGGAACATTTATTACCAAAAGTACCTCTCAGAGCGATGTACAAACAAACCAAATGATATTTTATGTTTTGACCATATTGAACATGTGTTTATGTATTTATGTGTTGGGGAATTCGATTCACGATGTACTCTTGTTTCATCAATTTTGTTCAATTGAATTCGGTTGGCTACTTCGGCCCATGTCAAGACTGACTAATTTCTCCTGTCATTCATATGACTGTTTATTCGCAATACCGGGATGCCGCCAACACGGGATATGCGGAGGGTGTCTTGCTGGTAAAGGAAACTTTAGTGGTGGGAGCCAGTGTCGTGTGTCCCGCGGTGGATGGAGTAAAGTTACGGGATAATACTTGCAGCCGCTGCCTCAGGCGCCGGCGAACACAGCATAGAGATAGTGTGACGTTTGGGGTGGCACAGTGGCTTGGTTGTACGTAGCTGTGGTAGTGCAAAGAAATAGTTCGATGACAGTTAAATCGATTCTAATCAAAATCTGCCAACATAATAATTTGGGCATTGCTTGCCATTTCCCTTAGATATGAATTAGCGAACTAGAGCATTGTATACTTTTAAGAACAAGCTGTGTTTAATCTAATCGAAATTTATAATTATTACACTTGAAAGAATGAGATTTTGTAACTGAAATATTGAAAAAAAAACAACAACAAAAGTAAAGAACTTAATAAAATAATTCCCGCCATATTTTTGTGTTGTTAATTTCAAGGTCGCTCTTCCACCTTTGCGGTTCACCACTTGCATCCGAACGCATTCCGCCATTCAAAACACAACGTAGGGTCCCCATTTTGTTGACGATCACAGTTCATGGCCACTTTTCGAATTTTTCGCTGGTTTTCAAATTTTGTGTGCATGTCTTCGATTTTGGCGGAATGTTTGGGTTATTACAAGACTTTATATTATAATAAAGTAATTAAGTACATATTTATAAAAAAGTATATGACAAACAACTATGTTACAATTTTAAAATAGCTTTCTTTTGATGCCAAATCTGTATCTAAATTATCAAGTCACGCAGAAAATCAAAACAATAAAAATCTTCTTAACAGACACTGTAATAATAATAATTGTGAAGTACCTAAGACACCATTTAATCACTCGGTTGATCATTTGACATTTTTACAATGATATTGTTAAAAATATACTGAAATAATGGGAAAAAGTGAGTATAAAAATAATTTTTTGTCATTTTGAAAATTTTGATGTAGTCTGTGCCTTATTGCCACTTCGACATTTGAAGTTTAAAAGAATTATCTTGTCACATCCAGTGTCGGTATACTCGCCGTGACAAAAATGCAAAAAAAAGTTACAATACTTAAAGGTGTTTTACACTTTGTGACAATGGAAGGGCATTGACCGGTCCAGCATTTTCTGTTCGTGACGCTAGACTACTCAGTACCAAATGTTTTTTTATAACTAAACGTACGTCAAAAAATAAGTCCTGATAAAGTCAACCCACAATGAAAAAACCAAGAAAAAATTACTTCTATATTGTAATGGAATACTAGTTATTTCACCTTTTTTAGGTTATTAGTCTACTAATTGTCAGCAAAGCTGGCATTTGAATTTTAAACCTCCACAGATAAGATATATTTCCCCGCCAACAGTTTGGGTTAATGATAATTATTGCCGATAATCACCGTAAGTTAGGATTGAGCAGTGAGTGAGCCTGTACGTAATATCTTTTCTTTTGTGTTCTTGAAAACAATCTTAACAACGTTAAACTCAACGTGATTTGATATGTCAGAATGTTAAGTGACATAATGTTTACTAAAATAAATGACTAAAATCCATGTTTACAATTCAAAATCTATAATTACATTGTGGGTATATACGAAAATGAACTGCCAAGTAGTTTTTTTCATTGTGTGTCGACTATATTTTGTCGTTCGAGTTCCTAAGTAGATTAGCTGAACGTCTAAAATAATATAGTAAAACATAAGTTATACACATTTTTTCTAGTTGTTCAGTAGATGGAGAAAGGGATAATTTCAAAAATGAAACTTTGCAACTTTGCAAAAATGTTGCCAAAATAACTAAGAACAACTTATTAGTGTATTACAAAATTGAGGACTCGCTTTGGAGATCCAGAGAGCGGTATATCAAAAATTAGCTAACCTGAAAGTGAGGTCTGGATAATTGTAGCATCATAAAACATTACACAAATCTTTCTCATGCAATTCAGAACAAAATTCAAAAAAATTGAGAATTCGCCTTCTCTTCGTTTGGAGATTCAGATAGTGGTTTATCAGAAATTAACCGTCCTGAAAGTAATAATTGCAAAATGGCAGAGCGATAAAACTTCACACACATATTCCCGTGGCAATGCAGAACAAAATATTAAAAAACCTAGAATTCGCCCTCTTTTGTTTTGGGGATCCAGAGAGTGGTAATTTTGAATTAGGGTTTTAGAGAGTAATGAGTGCACATTCGGAGCATCATGAAACTTAATACAAATCTTCATCAGACAATTCAGCAGAAATTATAAAAAAAATGAAAATTCGCCCTCTTTTGTGATATATCAGAAGTTAGTCGTCCTGAAAGTAACGAGTGCATTTGCGGAATATTATAAAACTTTATATAAATATTGTCGAGGCAATTAAAAATAAAAAATCTAAAAAATGAGTTTTTCCCCAAGCAGCAGACTGTCGTCTAATTCACGTCAATTTTTGGTCATAACTCGTCGGCGACGTCATTCGCCCAAAAAATCACGTGATAATGACGAGATTTTTATTATTTACTTCTGACGTCAATTAATGACGTCAAAAGGCCGTCCTTTCTTGGTCATTTTTTTATAGATTATATAATCAATTAGATGTGGATCATCCAGTGGCGTAACAATCAAACTGCGGGCCTGTGTTCTACAACACTGTGGGACCCCTAATGAACAGCGAAATAAAAATATTTAACAATACGAGTATAATGAGTAAAGAATGAGTAGATTGCAATGAGCGCTAACGTTTTATTAAAATCATTCTACCTGAAACATTGAATTAAAAAAATAAAATACAATAATTACCTGAAGACATATAATTAAAATATATACAATATTAGAAACTAGCCGACCCGGCAAACGTTGTTTTGGCATTTCTAGTGAATATTTTGGTACATAGTTAAATAAAAAATTAAATTAAAATAAATACATAAAAATTTATCGTACGACAATGATTATATTCAATGGCCATCTTGCAACCCTATTGCGCATCTGTGGATGAAAGCAAAGATACTCATATCGTTATTAAAAAATTGAGGTTGGTGGTAGAAGGGTCAAAATTTAGGGTTATATGTATTTTTTGATGCCAAATCTTAAAAAAATAAAAATAAAAAATGTTGTTAAAAAAATAAAAAAAGTTTGGTGGGTCACCTTTATCACTTAGGGGTTTAAAAAATAGTTTACTAGACCTACTGAATATACACAAAAAATTTCATAAAAATCGGTCAAGGCGTTTCGGAGGAGATTGGTTACAAACACTGTGACACCAGAATTTTATATTAGATTATTTTAGAAAAAAATTCATTACCATAAAAAAGGTTATACTGAGTCGACCTTAAAAGATTGACGTATGCTGTCGCGGACTTTTTTTTAGAACTTTTAGAAGAGAACAATTCCATCATACATGATTTTTATGTAACTTTAACCGTTTAATAAGCAGCGTAAGCAACGGAAGCTGTCAAAGGACGAATAATTTTCCCGTTTTTCCGATATTTTTCATTGCTGCTTCGCTCCTATTAATCATAGGGTGATGTTATATACTCTATAACCTTCCTCGATAAACGGACTCTCCAACACAAAAAGATTTTTTGAATTCAAACCAGTAGTTTCTGAGATTGGCGCGTTCAACCAAACAAACTCTTCAACTTTATAATATAAGTAAGTATAAAAGTATAGAAGTATAGATAAAATGCCCATTTTTTTTTTTAATCTCAAAATTGTTTTCTTCTTGCTTTTCAATGGGCACAAGTTGATACAAAATTTGATACATCTAAGCTTCTAGCAATTTGATTTCCATTTGAGAGATTCAATGAAGGTAATCTGCATTGGCTCATTGTTTCTTAAAAAATTTTTAGTAATTTTTAATTTCGAAAAAGATCTTTCCGCTGAAACCACCGAAAGAGGTATTGTAAGAAAAGTGAAACATGCTGTGATAATTTCAATGACACTAGCACAGGTAGGTCATTCTGTAATAATTTTCCAGTCCAGTTTTTTTTCTACTTAAAAAATTAGTTGTAACATACGTCAGATATATTTTATTATTCCAAAAAAGCACCACAAGTACAAAATTAAAATAGTTTTGAAAATACGAAAATTTTCATAAAACACAACTGAAACAGATTTTTTTTTTCACGTTTTATTACAGCATGAAGTTTCACTGTAGAACTGAGGACAAAATTTAAGTATTTTGTTGTCTTGCATCATAAATTAATCATACTTTTGTCGGATA